AACCTAGCATTATGAGCTAGGAACCAGACAGTAAGAAATGCCAAGAAACATGTGACTTAAACCCCACCCTTCAAAGACTGTGAATCTGTAATGGAGATTCACAACCATGAACTCACAAACTTCAGTGCCTAAAGGAACCTTTTTCACAAAACACAGCCAAAAGAATGGTCCTTCTTTTTCCCAGTAGCTCAGAGCACTTTCTGGGATATGGAGAATCAGATTCACCCCAGGGATCTGAATCCTCATCTCCCCACACCAGGGCAAGTGCCTTAATCACCAGGCAATTGAGAAGGAGAGAGAGCAATATTTTCTAAGTCTGAGGTGAAATCTTGGCCCTATTAAGAGCAATAGCAATACTCCCCTTGACTTCAATGCATCCAGGATTTCACATGTGGTTAAACAGTTACTGTGTATTTGCTTGTAAATGTTGAGACTTGCAAGACTTTCCTTGATGATGGTAAGTAAAGGAAGCTGTCTAAAATATCTAAGAACAATTGATTGGTAGCAAACTGCTGATGTGGTTGCCTGTGATAGCATGGGAGTCTGCTTGATGATGACCCAGAAGGGCCCATCCTGTCCTATGTTATAAGTGAAGCACCAGTGGCCTCATCTGGACACCAGAAAGTTTCATGTCTCAGGTCAGCAACATGAAACCATTGAAGCCATACAGAACTAAATTAACTCCAATTCCAAATGAATATTAGGAGTACAGTTGATTGCTGACACCAGTGAGTTAATGGACAATTCTTGTTACCAGAGATTGTTGGATGACCAAGTCAATATTTATATAGGGATATTATTTTCCTGATTAAAAACTTAAATCAAACTCTATGTTGAAGACGAAGAATATTATTTTCTTATATAGAATCAAACTAGGCATTTTTCCCTTTCTTTGACCACAAGCAATGATGAATTCAGATTTTGCCATTTAACAAGAAGTGATAGTGCCAGTATTCAAATTGTACTTGACAGAATTAGACCACATTACAAAAACTATTATTGCTGCTGTAGTGGTTAAAACATATTTTCTGTACTGTAATTGTATAAATTAGGGATGTCAACCAAACATACAGCCTGCAGAGTCCTGATATCTGGCCCATGGTGCTGCCCCTGAGTCTGAATTGATTGGGACAAGCCCAATGGAAAGGGCCCAGGACATGTGCTGCACACAGAGCCCGTTCCAGCCACTCTGGGAACTATGCCACATATGCATGGCCCCCAGGGTCTCCAGGAAGTGTGCTCATGCAGCGTGGATCCCATAGCAGCCAGAGCAGGTGCTACAGGCATTGCATCCAACACTGGAGAGGGGTAGGATGGCCCCTGATAAATCCCCAAAATACAGGACATCCCCTCAGTGAGCAGTGAGACCACTGGCCCCTTGGCTAATCATCAGTGAAGGGCAGGCCTGCCACCTCAGCCAATCAGCAGCAAGGGGCAGGGCCATCATACCCCTTGGCCAATTAGCAGCAAGGGGCAGGGCCACCACAAAAAGGCCACCTCCCTCTCTCCTCCTTTCCTTCCCTGACTGGCTTGGAACCCTGAGCCTCCTGGCTGTGCATGGCCCTATCTCTATGCACAGCCAATAGAATGGCAAGGACAAATGATTGACATGTATTTACACCAATGAACTGAAAAACAGGACTTTTTGTAATCTGTTCTTCATTGAGAAACAGACAGAGGACAAAGGGTTTAAAAACAGGGCAGTCTGGTACAGAGATGGGCAATTATTTCAGCTGGAAGACCACTTAATGCGTTTTGGTGTGCTGTTGAGGGCTGCAAGGGTAGTCCTGCCACTTGACAGATGTCCTGCCCCCTGGTTACCATCTTGGGACTAGAGTCCAACCCCTAACCCCTGACCTTTGCCACCAGAAGTCCCTCCCCTTGCCCCCAAAAGTACTCCTTTTGGGAAGAGGGCGCCATCTTGGAACTGGAAAAAAAATCATATGCTAAATATCAAACATCTATTATAACATATTTTAATTTTATTTAAAAAAAATGTCCTGATTTATACATGTTTCTGTAGTGTATATAGAAGTGATTGTATAATAGCTCAAAATAAAGTGTTACTCCTGTATATTGTGTGTGGTTGGGGGTGGGCTTTGTCAGGGGTGGGTGGGTGTGAGTGTGGGGCTTGTGGAGGGGTGCGATTGTGTGTGGGGGGAAGGGTGTGGTGGTGTATGTGGGAGAGGGTGTGCAGAGGGGTGTGTGTGGGGAAGAGTGTGGGGCTGTGTAGGTGGGGTGTGTGTTCGTGAGTGTATTGGGTGGTGTGGAAAGTGCAGGTGTTGGGGTATGAGGGAAGGTGTAGGGGAGTGTGCCCCCCAACAGTGCACAGCCCTCACTGCCAGCAGCAACAGCATCATCAACAAGCAGCAGGCCCTCAGGGTACTCATGGCCCATGCAGGTGGAGCTCCCCAGTGGCATGTGGCTACAGTCACTTCCAGGAGCTGCATGTGGTGGCAAAGAGTAGGGCCAGGCTGGCCTGTCTTCATTGAACAGGGCTCCCTGCATCTCATGTGTAGCTCCCAGGACCTGGCCACAGCTGTGTGGGGGGAGCTCTGTGTGATGAAGCCAGTAGCTTGACCCTGCACCCTGCCACCATGTGCAGCTTCCGGACTCCACTGGGAAGCAGGGAGCAGAGCTGGCTTGACTCCATTGCACAGGGCTCCCTGCAACCTCTGGTGGAGTCCCGGGAGCTGCATGTGGTTACAGGGAGTGGTGAAGGCCACTGACTCCATTGTGTGGGGCTTCTACCTAGTGGCGCAAGAGTCCCAGGAGCTGCATGGGTGCCACAGGGAGCCCAGAGCAATAGAACCAGGATGATTTCAACTCCATGCTCCCACCGCCTCACTGGGCATGAGACGCGGGCTCCATACTCCAGCTACAGCTTCTTCCATCCCCCTACCCCCAGCACTTCCATATCTGCTACCCAGAGCACTACAGCAGGGACATGAGGAGGAGCTGAGCAGGTCCCTTTGCAGTGGCAGCAGCAGCCCCAGCTGGACAAAATTGCCTGGTGGGTTGGATCCATCCTGTGAGCTGTATTTTGCCCACCCTTGGTCTGGTATAAAACAGAACCAGTGGCCACATTTGTGAGGGGGAAAGAAGGTCCAGGATCTGTGGGCCTGTTGATCTGATCTGGCCTGTGGACTGGCCTTGGGTCACTCATCTGGACCACAGAGCCAAATGAATTAGACACCTCTGATTTAAATGTATTTTATCTGAATTTTGTTTGTGCTTTTTGGACTTGTGTGTCAGGGTTTGCCCTTTTTTCTTATGTTTAATTTTTTGCCCCTGCTCTATTCTTATTTAAGATGCAGTTGCCTTCAGTAGACTGAGTCTTCACATTAGAGCTGAAAGCATTCAATAATTTATTCCAAATTCAAGTTAAAATTCTAACACCTATAAATAATATGGGATATATTACAATTCATTCCTACTCAAGTTCATTGATTACCAATTCTGTCAACACAGTTACTGCATTTTTTAAATTAGCCTGTATGCTGCCTAAATGATTGTTTCAAGCTACAAATATTTGTGATCTAGCTTATGGCTGAACCCTGAGAAAATTCCAGACATTTGTAGCCTGCTTGCTAATACTTGGGGAGTATCTAAATTAGTCTTTACAACATCATTAACTAATTTGAATTAGATAGGAATTAAAACTCAAAAAACTCTATTAAAGGAAAGTACATCTGAGTTTAAACCTAAATCTGACCATATGGAATAACACTTCTTTAGTCCTTTGAGTTGTCACTTGTATCTACCATACCCATGCCTATATCCATGAATGTATTCTGTTCTTCTTCAGTAATACATTCTTGGATAGCCATTTATGAAGATGGCACCTAAATTGAGCCATTCACTTGTAACTTCATGAAGTTCAGAATCAAAATCCACATCATATGTGTACAGCTTATTTTAATTATGTGGCTTCCCCTGTGGTTCAGTGATAGCATCCTTGTCTGCCACACAGGAGGCCCAGGTTCAATTCTTGGATGCTTATACAAAATACAGCCTTGGAGGCACCAAATCCAGTCTGGCATTTGGATTCTATCTCAGTGGCCTAAAGGGGGGGAGGGAAGGTCGGGGCAGCCTCCACTCCTCCAAGCAGCGGCAATGCAAAGGGTGTGCATGTGCACACCCTGAGAGCGCTTGTGTACCTCCTGACCTAACTGGCTGCACTTGCTGCTTAGGCGATGGGCAGGGGTGGCAGGTGGGAGCGCTGGTGCCTCCCCTACAAGTGCCAGCCAAGGAGTGGAGCACTGTGGTGCTCCCAGAAGCAGTTGCAGCAGTGGGCTGCGGAGGAACCCCCCAGGTTGGCAGGACTGGCCTGAGGGGGACTCCCCTGGTCAGTGGGATCGGCCATGGGGGGACCCGCCTGCTGCTGACTGGTCACTGGGGAAGGCATGTGCCCCCCTACTAAGGCAGCACCAGTCACCCATGCCTCCAAAACTCTCCTGCTTAGGCATATGCATCAAAGGTCTAGGTGACCTCTCATGTATATACCATGATCTAGAAGGACCAACAGTTGCTAGATTTTAATTATGTCCATTGTGTAAAATTTGCTGTAAATCACTTTAAAAATCAACATGAAACACTTTTTCTGCAAGCTGCAGGATTGGTCCACATTTTTGAATGATCAAAAAAAATTAATGAAATTAAAAAATGAAACTTTTTTAAATGTTGAAAAAGCATTATTAAATTTTGAAACATTTCCCGCTAAACTGCAGTGTTTTCAACCAGCTATTGCTTCATTATAGAGATTCCCCTCCCAACTGCAGGATTACTCCTTAATTGACACTCAATATTATGCTATTTTAAAAATGTGTAATTATCTTTTTCTTTGGTATTATTATATCTTATAATATAGTTAAACACACTAAATTTCCCTCCATTGTGTAGTGCATTCTCTTATCTCTTAATAACCTCCTTGAAGCCATCACCCTCAGGATCTTGTATGTGATTCGCCTTGCCAACCCATCATTCCATTTTCTCTGCAGAAACGATCAGGGTTTCCTGAGGTCAGAGGAGGAAAAGGTTGTCTGCTTTCCGGTGAAGGTCATGTCCTGCTTCTGGGAGGTGATGGCAACTCCTGCTCCATGTGGTTTTGCAGAAAAGTTTTGAAAACTGAACAGAAAAGTATAGGTAAAACATAGAATGCACTGACATTCTGTTTTCCTGCATGGCATTATAGGCAGCATTCTGCTCTCAGATATACACAGATGAAACATGCATGTGTCTGGGGCAGAACTGGATCCAACACTTATACATGCATGTGTGGTCCTTACTTTCAGAAATGTAATTCCAGGAACTGTTGCTAAAACCTTGTATGCTGAAATGTTAAATGTTGTAATTAAGAATATTATGCAGAAATTCTGGCATTCTGCTTGTGTTGCTGAATGTTTCCATTTATCAAATCACAGGCTTTATCTTGCATTACAGTTTGTACACATTCAAGCTTATTTCAACAAACTATGTTGAATAATTATTTGTCTGTCATCTGTTAACGTCTGCTTGATAGCTAAATCGTTCCTGGCAACACAGCTGGGAAATTTGCTGGTTTATTGCTGCCACTTTCATGTTCAATTTGTGTTCATAATGGCACTGAAATATATTCCATGTGTATTTGGGAAGGATATTTTTTTGTATCATGCCTTAGAGGAAAAGAATGATTTTCTAATATGCATAAATTAAAATTAGCAGTGATGTTAGAACTAAGAATGTAATGCTTCATCTCACTCCTGTACATTTTTGTACCATTAAAAATAATCAGATTTGAACAGTACTATGTATCCCATGCAAAATGTATAGCGTCAGTGATTTGCAGCTCATATTGACAAAGGCATCAATGAAAAATATGAATGCTGATTTGCTTTCCCTGTTTTAATAGTTTATATTGTCAACATAATTAAGCCCATTTTGATCCTTATCAGGAGTCATGCTTTCTAAACAATCCTGTAATCTGTCCTTATTCTCTAAGAAGTTTGTATTTATTGTGATGGTCCACAGGGACATCAGGTCTAGTGGGTAGAGCCAGAGGGTGGATTGGTTGAAGAGAGAAGCCATGGTTTGGAGCAACAGAAGGCAGATCTAAGTTGCAAGCCAGGGGGTCAGAAGCACAGCACTAAGCCAGAAGGCTAACCAGGATCAGGGTTCAGGAAGCAAGCTGAGGTCAGGCCCAAGTTCAAAACACTGAGCCAGGGGTTTTACCCAAATCAGAGTTCAGGAAGCAAGCCAAGGTCAAACTGGAGTCCAAAGTCTGAGGGGCTAGGTACATGGTCAGGGTACTGGGGCAGGAACCAGGGAAGTCACAGAGGCAAGAGCTACTCAAGGACTGAAGCCAGTATGTTGCACAGTGGGGCTCAGGTGTTGCAGGAGTTTCTTAAAAGCAGCCCCAGAACCAATCAGGAGAAAAGGACTGGGGCTCAGCTGGCCTTGCTTAGTGAATTGAATGTAGCTGCCCTAATTACAGATTGCTATAATGCAGAAGCTTTACATTTTTCTTCAGGCAGAAGGGAGAACAGAAGAAACAAGGAATGGAAACCATTCCATGCAAATGTCCAGCTTGCCCTTGAAAATTTTCAGGGATGGAGATTCTACAATTTCTCTAGGTAGCCTGTTTCAATGCTTGACTCCACTCATAGCCAGAACATCTCTTCTACTCTCTAACATAGATTTCCTCTGCTGCAGCCGGCATCCATTGCTCCTAGTCCTGTTCTCTATGGCCACAGAGAAAAGTTCATCTCCATCCTCTATAATTGCCCTTCAGATATTTGAAGATTCTTTAAAACCCCCTAACACCCTCCCCAAGTCTTTTCTGCTCCAAACTAAATAACCCTACTTCTTTCAGCATGTCCTGATAAACCATGCTTCTCTGCTGGAATCTTTCTAATTTGCCCACATCCTTCCTAATGTGTGGGTTCTAAAACTGAGCATTTTACTCCAAATGAGGCCTCACAGTGCTAAATGGAGTGGAAGAATCACTTCCCTTGATTTGCAAGTGGCACGCTTGTTCATATTACCCAATATACTGTTGGCTTTTTTTGCAATAAGAGCACACTGTTGGCTCATATTCAGTTTATGGTCTACTGTTGCCTTCCAGGTCCTTCTCTGAAGTACTGCAGTCTAGCTAGTCATTTCCTAGTCTGTATTTGTGCCTGTAATTTTTCCATCCCAAGTTCAGGACTTTACCCCTGTCCTTGTTGAATTTCATTTGACTGATTGCAGGGTATTTTTTCCAGTCTATTCAGGTCATTCTGAATCCTAGCCCCAACCTACGGAGTGTTTACAACTCTACCCAACTTGGTGCCATCTGTAAACTTGCTAAGCATCCCATCATCCAAATCAAAATGAAGATATTGAAAAATACTAGACAGACTCTGGGAATCCCACTTGATTCCTCTTCCCAAATAGATATTGAGCTATTGATGATTGTGTGTTGGGTATGATGATCCACTCATTTATGTATCCACCTTCCAGCACTTTTGTCTAGTCTTTTTTTCCTTAGCTTTTAATGGGAATGTGGTGGGAGACTATTACATCCACTGCTCTCCTGCCATCCACAGAACCTGTCACCTTATCATAGAAGGAAATTAGGTTGGTCATGACTTGTTCTTGGTGAATCCATGGTGGCTGTTTCTGATCACCTTATTCTCCTCTAGATGCTTCACAGTGGTATCCTTGAGGACCTGCTCCATGATCTTGCCAGGTATTGAGGTCAGGCTGAGTGGTCTGTAGTTCCCTTATCCTTTCCTTTTTTAAAGTTAGGCACCGTGTTTGCCCTTTTCCAGTTATTCGGGACTTCACCTGAACTCCACAAGAGGATAGCCAGTGGCTCCAAAATTACTTCAGCCATTTTCTTCAGTACCCTTGGGTGCATTTCATCTGGCCCTATTGACTTGAAGGTCTCTAGGTTCTCTAAATAGTCCCTAACCTGTTCCTCTACTACTCTAGGCTGCTTGACTTCTTCCCTATCTTTGTTGTCAACTATGATTGACACATCTGGTAGTTCCCTGTATTTGTGAAGACTGAAGTAAAAAAAAGCATTAAATACTTCATCCATCTCTGCATCATGCATAACTAAATTTACCTCTATTCTGTAAGGGACCTATAGTTTTTTCTGGTTGTAAGGAAAGAGAAGCGCCACTGGAGGCAAAGATTAACTCACTAGAGTTGCAAGCAGCTGCCCCAGCCCTGAGGCTACAAAGAACCATGCAAGGATCCTATTTGTTCCAGTGTTTCGGGAGGGGAGAGGGAGTAAACATGAGCTCCAAGATAAAAAGAGACCCAGAGCAGGCAAGTGAGGAACGCCCGGAAGCGGAAGTTGCAGACTCAGCCAGAGAGACAGCAGGGATGACTGAAGGCACAGAGGGAGCTGTTAGGAAGGGTTTTCAGAGAGGCAGCTCTGTTGAGGGAGCTGCCAGAGAAGAAAACCTGAAGGAGCAGCTCTCAGGGAAACTGAAACTGCTCAGCCCTGAGGGACAAGCAGGGAAGGAGGTACTGTAAAGACCCTAGTAGCAGGTCTGAGAAGAGGTACCATAAAGACTGGACTATAAGGGCAGGTAGAAGTCCAAGTTTATTTTCTTTCCTCTTTTCTTTGGAGTGGGAGAGGATTCCTCCCAGATATAGCAGGATAGTGAAACGCAACTATCCGGACAATAGGCCAGGAAAAAACTGGTAAAATACAAGTCAGTTCATTGTATTGCTTCAAGCCTGGTGGAAGATAACCAGGCTCAACATAGCTTTTGATTTGTCAGACCCAGAGATGTAAGAAATGTCTAGACAGCTCTGAGGCTGACTGCACGGACTGTGAATTAAGACCCAGTGGAATGGGCATGGGTGTAGGGGTTGATGGAGCTCTCACTACACTGAGGCAGACCTCAAGACCAACAATATTAAAAGCCGCACGTCCAGGCATTTCTTTTCTCCCTTAATAACAAGTCGTGGCAGCAGAGATCAGGGGTGTGTGGAATGTTCCATCAAGACTTTATGGCGGGCTTCAGCCAGCTGGCCGAAGTGATAAGACTGTCTTAGTATAGAAAATGGAGTGAGAAAGAGAGGAAACCTTCCGGACAAGGTAATAACCACTAGAGACTGACTGAATACAGAAAAATTGAGGGAAGCACCTGGACCAAAATAGGTGGGTGGACTCTGGCGAGAGCCCTCCTTTGGACACTGGTCTTCCTCTTATTTTACTTGTCAAATCCCTTTTATGCTCCCTGCCAGCTGCATCTCAATTCATGCCTTGAGCTTCCTAATTTTCTCCCTGCATGTCTGCATGATGTTCTTAAACTCTTCCCTAGTACTATGACAGTTTCCATTTTGCTGTCAGATTCCTTGTTGAGTTTCAACTCACTGAGGGAACTGCTGTCTAGCCAGGCTTGTTTCCTGTTGCACTTCTCATTCTTCTGTCACATTAGGATAGTTTGCTGCTGTGCCCTTAAAAGTGCCTCTTAACAGTACAGCCATCTGCAATGAATGCAAACTTATTCCTATCATACTCCAATAATTTGCTGGAATGCTTGTGCATTGCTGTTTCACCTCCAAGCAGGTGTCCTAATAATTAAAGTCTCCCATGAAAACCATGTCCCGAGATGTGCAAGCTTCTGTCAGTTGTTTAAAGGAGGCTGCCGCCTTCTCCTGGTTTGGTGGCTGCTAACAGATGCCCTCCATAATATCCTCTGCTACTCTCCCCTCTGATCTTTACCTAGAGACTTTCAACAGGCCTCCCTTTCACTTTGTACTGCACCTCAGAGCATGTGTACATCTCCTTTATAAAAAAGGCGATACTTCCTCTTTCTTTCCCTTGCTCATTTTTTCTGAACAAGCTGTACCCACCCATAACAGTAGTCCAGTCATGTGAACTATCCCATCACATCTCTGTAATTCTAGTTACTGGTACATCATAATTCCTTAATTGTACAAGGACCTCCATTTCCTCCTGTTTATTCCTCATGCTTCTCACATTAGTATATAAATATTTCAGGTATCTAAATGACTCATAGGGAAGGGTACTGTGGTAAGAACAGAATCTGGTTAGGTCAAAATCATTTAGGAAGATTCTACTAGGATAAAGCTGGGAATCTTCTATGGTCTCCCGGGATCAGATGGGATGTATAATTTTCTGTTCTGATTAGAAACAAACACAATCTGGAATTGGTTATTATGGGAGATTCTCACTATATACACTGGAGAATAAATGCTACAAAATAAAGGTAACGTGCAGTTATTCCTGGATGTGCTAGTCAATATATTTTTTCATTGATTATTCACTGGACCAACAAAAAATATGCTATTTTAGATTTGACTTTAGCAAATAATTAGCACATGATAGAAGAGCTGATTATAATAACATTGGATCAAGTGACTATGAAATGTTCTGTTTTCAATTTACAAAGGATAAACAAAAGTAGATCTGTGCCTAAGGTTCTTAATTTTCTAAAATTAGACTTTGATAAACTGAGGGGATTAGTTGCTGAAGTCAACTGGACTAAAAAGCTCTGTGACTTGAATGCAGAGGAGGCCTAAATTTCCTTAAGTCAAAGCTGCAAAAAGTCTTTGGAATTTGTATCCCAAGCAAGAGAAAGAAACTGGTGGGAATGAGAGTGGAATGAAGAACCATCTCAAGAAAGGTATTAGGAAAAAAAAAAGAACCTACAATGCATAGGAAAAAAGTACTGGCTTGAAGTCAAAGAGTATAGGAATACCATGTGAACTGTCAAATGTCAAGATGAGATAAGGCTTGCAAAGGATATCATATAAGAAGAAC